CATACACATAGTACCTTCGTTTGACCTTTGTCAGATAGAACCACTTCTCGTCGACATGCACATAGTCGTACATGTTGGCGAAACAGTGGCGTCCATCTAACAAGGGTCGAACGAAGGACATTGCGTACTGCAGACGAGCTTCTACGTTCTCCGGCGTCAAGAAGGGCTTGATGTAATTCGACCTGGCCTTGAATCTTGGTGTACTTTTCTTGTGCCGAAAAAGTGATGTCTTCGGGACACCACTGGCAATGGCCAAAGATCGAAGTGTCTGGCGGGCCAGCTGTGGAAATTGACGAATTGCTGCCTCGATTTCATCGGGCGTTCGGGATGGTTTGCGGCCAGGCTTACCTAATAAAGTAAAACTCCATAATTCAATACTCCATAAAACGAATACAATATCATGTTTCAGAAGTTTTCTTACACATTTTGGTGCTGACATCGGCAGTACCGCCGTCGCCGTGGACAGAGAGTTTGGCACGTCGCCAGAGCCGTGAAATTGTCCGCGGGTGGCAGCCAAAGCGCTGTGCCGTCTTTGTTAGAACTCCAAGTGGGATATCCCCGTTCACAGCAGCGCCCAGGAGCATTTCATAGACACCACGGCGCTCGTCCAGAGTCATGTGCTTGTTGCGTTTACGGGGCGAGTGTGACGCACAGGAAGCACCGGAATGAGCCCCGACGGATTCAGTAGGCATGACTCGATGGTAGAATCTTAGGTGCACGATGTAGTTGGGCTCAAATGGAGTTGTGAGCTTCCAGCGGGCCATGACCCCTAAAATTAAAGTTGGCGGCTACCAACTTTAAAGCGCCATAACTTTTGAACAAAAACTTTCTGGAAAGCCCTTAAACTACCCAATCAAAGGTAAGATTTCGCGCCGATTGATGCGCCAATCAGATGAGAAATCTGCTGAATATTAGAAAAATCCCGCCAATCAGAAGGGGCACCTGACAAATGTATCGGAACCGAGTAGTAATAAATGTCCTTGGAGTCAAAATTCTATATCATGGTACTCCAGAACGACCACTCGACGATGGGAATGACTTCGTGAGCGGCACGGCCCCGCGCTTGTCCTTGGCTAGCCTTCTTTCGGATTCTAATAGTAACACTGAAGGATATATTCATGCATCAACCAGCGCCCCATAGAACGAGCGAGGTTTCCACACCCGCATAATGCGCACCGAAGGGTCCCTTGCTTGATGGTTCCCTGGATGTGGCCTGGGAAGTGGGCGATGAACGAAGCACCAGACGTCGGTGTGTGGTCGACGTGGATCAGTGGGGAAAGGCGTATACACCCCTTGGTCCCGTGATGTGGGTTCGAGCTAAGCGATTCAGTGGACAGAAGCACCCTACCTCAGCCACGTGAGCTTTGATGAGACTGGCAGACCAAGTCGACGATGTCTTCAAGTTCATCCACGAGCCGTGCAGCCAGCGATGCCATAATGAGTGCCACGAAGCCGTGGATATCCAGTCCAAATCCATGGACGTCAACAACAAGCAATGTGCAGACGACGTTGCTCATGGGTCCAGATGATCTTGATCCCTGCGGACTTAACGTCGAGTAGGGGATTCTTCCATCGTTTGTGTGAACGTGCGCAGAGGAAGACGCAGGAGATGGTAGAATCAAGAATGAATTGATAGCATTAAGACTACTACGCTATCACTAAGCTACGCGCAGCCAACCATTGATGCATCGTCAGGAGAACACCTTGGTTGCGCAAGAGGCCTTGTTGGTCTGCGTAAGGACACCTTGGACTGAAGAGGTGTCGACTAGACACCCGGTTATTAACCGGATGACGGGCGCGGTTACACCCTCCCCTAATTAAGACAGAGCGTGCCATCATCACGTGGTCAGAAATGAGAGGGAACTGTGACGTGACAGTTGATATTGGAGATGGCCGACGAAGGCAAGAAGCGCAAGGCGAGCGAAATCGCCGAGGAAGCCGACGACAGCGTGGAAGAGGCCGAAGCACCGGCGCAGCAAGTGGAGGTAGTGGACCACACAGCCGAGTCGGATGACGATGACGGAGTGGCGCCGAGCGAGGACGCGGCCGAGGTGGCGCAGCGCAAGGCCGACTGGGAGCCCAAGGCGGCCGTGAAGCGCGAACGGCTCGGGCAGATGGAGCAGCATGCGGCTGCAGACTTGGTGAAAAGCGCCATGCAGACAGTGAGCGCCGAAGGTGTGCAGAAGCTGCTGGAGCAGCACTTGGCACAGGATGAGGCCACCAAGAAGGCAAGAGCGGCCGAGGAGGTGAAGGCGAAGGCAAAGCGCGCCGAAGAGGCCTGGACGATCGCAGCGGCTGACGAAGCAGCCAAGGAGGCTGCAGAAGCAGTGAGTAAGGCGGTCAGCGGAGGTGTGACTGGGACACCCTCAGGTGATGGGGGACATCCCAACGCTACAGGCGTCGGGGGAAAGGAAGGAAAGGCGAGCGGCAAGGGAGCTGCCGTAAAGACGGAGTCCAAAGTGAAAACTGAACTTGGTGGGCCGGAGCGGACCGGCCTCGCCCGAGACGAAGTGTTCGAGCGAGAGTTGGGGTTCCACTGGGATCGCTCTCGGATCTTCACGCCTGCCGGGTGGGGTGGCGTGGACTTGGGGTATGTGCGCAACGTTACGCGCGGTTTGACAGTAGTGGGCGAGTTCGACGAAACTCACGACGACTGGGATACCAGACGGCCAATGCTGCCGGCGTGGAACGGTACCTGCGCTTGTTTGCAAGCGCCCAATCGTTTGAGTTGCGGGTGTTGTGGATGCTGCTTGCCGTGGAGTGCATGCAGCTGGCGAGGGTAGTTTTCACCGGTTTGATGAGTTCAAGGGTGCCATGCGTGAGTTGCATGAACGGGAGCTCCTGGAGCGCTGGACTGTGAGCGTGGGGCGGATCGAGCTTTGCAATGAAACATTGCTTGAGTACCTTGTAGCGTTTGTGTGGACGCTTGTCGGACAAAGCAGCGGGTGGCATGGGCAGGCCCCGCTGATGACAGCGGGGTGGTTGGCCAAGTAGCTGTCTAATTTCGCCGGGCTGCGGCGACAGAAGCATGGGCGTTTGGACGCTCGGTCTGTCGCGCGGATTGCCGCCCGCGTAAATATGCGGCGCGAACCTGAGGTAAGTGTTGCTTGATGTAATCATCTAAATGCCAAGTTGTAGTTGACCCGACTCGCACAGCGAACTGCCGACCCGTCGCTGTCCATCGTGATCCTACGATCGCGGTGTCGGAACGGTCACCTCCACGGGGGCAAGCGGCGATGGCGACCGCGGCGCAAGTGCAAGGGGCGCGGTTGACGTCCTGCGGGTTTTCGGTGCTCCCGGCGAGCCTGGTCGAGCGTGTGGGCTTCGCCGACGACGAGTTCCTCGACGTGGGCACGCGAAGATGCGCAGGTGCGGACAACGGCTGCGCAGGTGGCAGCGCGATTGTCTGCGGCGCGGCGTTTGTGGGGTACAATCCGCCATTGGGGCCACAACAGGATGGTCAGGTAACAGTGGCAAGCAGCCGCGGATTATCGGGCGGGAGCGCGGGCAGGGGCGGTACCGCATCAAGAGCTGGGGCAGATGTCGCGGACGACAACGCCTGGGGCGCCAGGGGAGGAGGAGAAGGCAATGGCGGCGGAAGAGAAAGAGCCGCCGCGGGATCCAGAGGATCGTTTGCCGTCACTTCATCGGTCGTAGATGTAGATAATGAGGGTAAATAACGTTTGAGTTTTCCCAGATAAAATGTTGGATGGATCTGCCATGAGTTGGGCAGATCGAGCTTGTAGTTGGTTGGACTGACCACGCGGTGGACCGTAAAGGGACCGTGCGTTCCAAGCTCGACGTTGGAGGACATTCCAACCGGACTTGTCGAGGAGACTTGTTCGCCAACGGCGAACGACGCGAGGTTAGAGCGGCCATGTGCGCTGCTGAGCGGCAGCGATGCTGTCATGGATATGTTGCATGACCGAGACTCGACGGGAGAGGAAGCTCTGGATGGTTTGGAGAGTGCAGCTAGGGGTGTTGGAGTGTACACCAGCAGAAAAGAGCCGCGCAGTGATTCCACCCCCACTTGAGACCGAACCGTCGAGCATCGGAGGGAGGTGGGGGTGTTGGAGATGGACTGCATAATGGGGGGAAAAGCCAGTGAACGCTTGTACCGAGGCGTTGTAAGCGAAAACCGCATGCTGTAACGTAACAGCCCACGATGAACCGGTAAAAACGGAGTAGCTCCGAAGGATATCTTCGAGGACGCAACGTTGGCGCGTTCCGTTTGGCCGTCGGACTCGGGGTGGTCCGAAGTCGACATGTCAAGCGAGGTGTCGCATAAGGCGAATAGGGTGACCTAAACTTCGCCGTGAACCGCGGGTCGCGGTCCGGAACGATGGAGCGAGGCAGGCCAAAGCGACAGAAAACATGGTCGAAAAAGAGGCGTCCGCGCCGCTCAGCGTGTCCCGGACCGGGACGGCAATAACGTATTTCGACGCTCGGTCGACACAAACCATAATGCCTGTGGTGCCGCAGGCGTCGCGCGGCAGGCCAAACATGAAATCCAAGCTGACGGACGACCAAAATTCGTCGGGAATAGGCAAAGGTTGGAGCGGTGACCGAGAGGAGACGGTGATTTAGTGCGCTGACAAGCGTCGCAGCGAGTGACGTAGCGCACAACAGATTTTTACATGCGGGGCCACCAGTACAAACGCATCAGGACCGCGTGCATTTGTCGCGGCCAAAATGGCCATCGGCGAGGGCGAAGCGATGTACGGCCGACGAAGCGCGGCGGGGTTTGGAGGAAACGGGGTCGGTGAGCACCGCCAGGCGCGACGAGCAGCCAGCGTCAAAGGGGTAAGCCGCGCGAATCTGATCATGAAGTCAAGAGACCGATCGTGGTCAGTTAGAGATCAGGACCCCGAGACAGGGCTTCGGCCAGGATGTTGTCTTTCCCGGGCTTGTACTGAACCGAAAATGTGAATTCAGCGAAGTACGAAATCCAGCGCGCCATGCGCTGCGAAAGGTGCAGCGTGTTCGTCGCCGTGCGTAAGGATGCCTGATCAGTGTAAACCAACCTGTCGAGTTTTGTGCGCGCGACTTCCAAGTGCGTCGAATGGGACATGCGAAAGGATCCTGATGCCGTGTCTGAGGACGAATAGATTGTGTGGTTCAAGCAAGGGTACGACGTCAATCCCCAGGCCCTGGATACCCTAAAGAAGCGGGTCCAATCTGCTGTTGTTTTTCATATATTGGTCCCGGACGCGGATTCCCGGATCGGACGTATGCTGGATGGTTTGGCTGTGGCTATTCGTCGGGACCGCCAAGAGTCGGTGATTCGAGAAGTGAGCCAGACGATTGTGAAGATCATCACGGACGCCGTCGTGCCTGCGTCGCTACACCGTGCCATTACCGAGCAGATGGCGTTGACGCGAAACACGCCTTTGAAGAAGGATGTGTACCGGTTTGTGCGCTGGTTGCGGCAATATGCGATCCCACACGAGCGTTTTGTGGGTTACGATGAAGAGTTGGAGCCGCCTCAGAAGCCGGACCTACTGAAGCCGCCCGGGTCGAAGGACTTGGGAGTACGCAGGATCCCGAGGGGAGACGCGAAGCCCCTGGCACCTGCTCCGAACGCATCAGCTATTGGTGCACCGAACAACGGTTGTCTGAAGTGTGAGTCGACCAGCCATCGGGTCCGGGAATGTCCCGGGGTCACCCCCTAAGAGGCCAAGCAACTGCTAAGAGCACACAGAAGTACGTTCAGACGTGGTCGAAGCGGCGAGAAAGGAGCCTCGGGAGCACCTGGTGGCCGCGTGGCGACAGTGAAGACCGATGTCCCAGACGGGAAACGGCTTGAGCTCCCGGCTATTGTGGACGGTGTCCTTCCTGTGCAGGCATCACTACTGGACTCAGGATCTGATTTGTCGGTGACCACAGGAGGCCTGGTTTCTGCACTGTTAACTGCAGGAGCATCCCCGGAGATTACGGTCATGGTCCGATGGAACTCCGACCGTACGGAGTGGACACCCAGGTGATTGCTGTGACGAAACAAGTTCGGCTGGGCAGCCTGGAATTCAGGACCGCTGTGGGCCAATGATGTTACGAGAGCTCCGGGTCTGAGTCAATGATACCGTAGCACCCGTTGAGCTTACGCTGGGCTACAATCAGCAGACGTTGCTGGAGAATGCACGTCGGCAGGAAGCCGTATGGGATTTCGGTGATCAGCCTAACACGACCCCGGGAGTCGCGATGCACCGTACCCACGGATGCCAGAGGTGTCAGACGGTATGGACGACGACGAAGGGATGGCGTGTGCAACGCCAGAACTTGGAAATACGCCTGACCACGATGGTCCGGTGCGTATTGTTCTGGAGTCCAAGGTGGCTGAGGCGGCTACCGCGGGCATGCCAACAGCAGCTGTCGAGCAGCTCCAGGACCTGTTGATGGAGTTTCGGGACGTGTTCCGGCTGAAGTTCGGGAGAGACCCACCGGTGAAAGTGGAATCGTTGAAGGTGCGCCTCGAGGAAGGGGCTATGCCGGTGAAGTCGGGACTGCGGCGCTACCCTCTCCCCCATATGGCGTTCCTGGAAAAGCATGTCCGGGAGCTGGACAAAGCGGTTCTGGTGTACCGCAACACTAGATCGCGCTGGGTCTCGGCTCCGAGGATTGTCCCGAAGAAGATTCGGGAGACCTCATGACGATTGACTCGAGACCGATCAATGCGTGTACCGAGCCGATGCCCTGGCCCATACCTATATCTGGAGGTGGCCATGGTTGTACTGAAGGTCTCGAAAATCTACTTCAAACTGGACTGGATGAAGGGGTATTGGCAGTTGTCCTTACACCCGGACTCCCAGGGAGCTGCGGGATCAAGCTCAAACCTACAGAAAAATATGTT